GGTTCTCAACCTGTGGGTCGCGACCCTTTCACAGGGGTCGCCTAAGACCAACGGAAAACACATATATAATTACATATTGTTTTTGTGATTCATCACTATGCTTTAATTATGTTCAATTTGTAACAATAAAAATACATCCTGCATATCAGATATTTACGATTCACAACAGTAGCAAAATTACAGTTCTGAAGTAGCAACGAAAATAATTTTATGGTTGGGGGCCACCACAACATGAGGAACTATATTGAAGGGTTGCGGCATTAGGAAGGTAGAGAACCACTGCCCTAGATGGTTTGGCTCAGTTGATAGAGCCACGGACTCAAGGGTCCTGGGTTCAGTTCCGGTCAAGGGCACATTCCTGGGTTGCAGGCTCTATCCCCAGTAGAGAGCTTGCAGAAGGGAGCAGATCGAGTCTCTCTCATCATTGATGTTTCTATCTCTCCTGCCTTCCTCTCTAAAATCAATAAAAATAAATAGGCTATGAATGAAACGACGCTGCTCTCCATCCATCCTATCCCCCCTCACACCCTCTTTTGTCTTTGCGGTTCCCCCCCCGCCCCCTCCCCCCACACACACGCACTCACTCCACTGGGGTCTGTAAAATAGGGTCAGGATTTCTACTTCAACGAAGGGCGACGTGGTCGGGCAGTGTGGGAGGCGCTGTGCCTGCCAAGCGGAGCCTCCAAGGAGAGCTGGGGAGAAGGAGGGAGAGATGTGGAGCCTGTCCCATGGGAGAGGCCATGGGCTCCTCCGCTGCCCCCACCCAGCAGCTTTTTTTTTTTTATTGCTTAAAGTATTACAAAGAGTATTACATATGTCTCCTTTTTTTCCCCCCTTGACATTTATTTCCCCGGCCTCCCCTACCCCCCAGTGTCTTGTGTCCATTGGTTATGCTTATATGTATGTATACAAGTCCTTCGGTTGATCTCTTACCCCTCCCCCTTCCGCCCCTCAACACTCCCCAGCCTTCCCGCTGTAGTTTGACAGTCTGTTCGATGCTGCTCTGCCTCTGTATCTATTTTTGTTCATCAGTTTATAATGGTCATTATTATCCATAAATGAGTAAGATCATGTGGCATTTTTCTTTCATTGACTGGCTTATTTCACTTAGCATAATGCTCTCTGCCGGGAGCCGGTCTACCCTTGCTGCTTGACACAGTCGCTGCAGGGAAGAAACATCTGCACAGCTTATGTTTCAAGGGACCTGGCGTATATGGCATATGTTTGCTCCCCTTCTTAGCGCTATGTGTTTTAAACAGGACCACCTCCCCCAGAAAGGTTGTTTCCCCAGGTGGGGATTTTTCCCTGGAGTTGGGGATTAACAGGACTAAGGAAGGGAATAAATCAGTAAAACTCCTTAACTAAGTGCCAGGTGGGTAGTTAATCACTTAAACTACAAACAATCATGCTTAAGCTACATAATCTGGTATAAATACAGATGTAACAGGAGACTAAAGACAGAACCTGGCTGGAGAACCTGACTAGAGAAATGATAGTTTGTGGCAATGTTTGGGTGATTGCAGATTGTTTTTGTCTCCCAGAGAGAAGGTTGGAGTTGCTCCAATGTAGGGGATTGATAAATTGTTTTGGGAGGCTCTGCTTTAGGTAGATAGGGGATTTTGGAAACTCAAATGCCTTCAGCTCAAAACTATTCTTTTGTCAAAGTGGTATATTTTGGAGTGGTACATCTTGATCTCAACAACACTTTTGTAAATGCTATCACATGAACTAGTATTTGCTCTTTGCTTTTTTCAGAGCATGAAAAAACTTCTGCCATTAGCTAGTCATACTTTATTCTTTAAGAACTAGATTTAGCCAAAACTGGTTTGGCTCAGTGGATAGAGTGTCGGCCTGCGGACTGAAGGGTCCCGGGTTTGATTCCGGTCAAGGGCATGTACCTGGGTTGCAGGCACATCCCCAGTAGGAGATGTGCAGGAGGCAGCTGATCGATGTTTCTCTCTCATCGATGTTTCTAACTCTCTATCTCTCTCCCTTCCTCTCTAAAAAAATCAATAAAAAAAAAATATATATATATAAAAAAGAACTAGATTTAAATTACAGTTCATTGAAGACATTGCAGAAATGTGTAGGTAATGTTGATGGTTGTCTCTTAGGGATAGTGTTCAGTACACAATTTCTCACTTAACCATCATTTTGGATGAGACCCTGTTTAAAATGATAAGCTTTAAATTATTGGTTAATTTAAGTTCTCTGGAGTTTCATGTGAATTGTCATTTGGTACAAGTTATAAAAGTAAATTTTCATTCCTATTGAGTTATTAGGATTATAATCTTAAGAGTTTCAACAACAAAAAGTTGTTGGAAAAGTAACATTCCATCACAAAGCAGTTTAGTATTTAGCTTCATGTCAAAATCCTATATAATAAAAGGTTAATATGCAAATAGACCAAATGGCGGAACAACCAAGCAGCCGGTAGCTATGACGTGCGCTGACCACCAGGGGGCGTGTATGGAACATGGCGGGTGTTGGCTGTGGTGGGATGGTGGAGCAGGTGAGTGGGGGTGCCAGACCAAGGCGGGGCTCTGGTTGCTGTCATTGGGGCGAGCCTCTGGTGGTTACCGAAAAATCTTTGTACTCATGCACTGTAGTCCTGCCCAGTGCTCGCACCTGCTGCTGGTGCTGGCCCTGATCGCCCCTGAGGACTTATTCCCCCCCCCCCCCCCCCCCCCGCTCCTGAGGGGCCATCAGGGCAGCAGCTGCTGCTTGCACCCGCTAACGGCACCAGTCCTGTTTGCACACGCTGCTGGTGCCAGCCCCAATTGCTCTGCGCCGTTAGCAGATGGGACCGGGGGCCGCGGCAGGAGGGTCCAGGCAGGGGCATGGAGGGTGGGCCGAGACCCTCCCCTGTGCCTACCGCAGTCTCGCAGTCCACAGTTCCTTTCAAGGTGCATGAATTTGTGCACTGGGCCCCTAATAGATAATAAAAATCCTTCATACAGTCTAAAACACTTTAGATTTCATTTTTATTTCAGAAGACTTTAAAAAGTAACAAGATGTAGTAGAATTAGAATGTCTGAATTTTTATATAGTTCACTAGAAGCCCGGTGCACGAAGTTCTTGCACGGGTAGGGTCCCTAGGCCTGGCCGGCGATCGGGGCTTTCTGGCTGCCGGCTGGTGGCTGGGGCCTTCCTTCATTCCGTGCTGCCCCCTGGTGGTCAGCGCACGTCATAGCAAGTGATCGAACTCCTGAGGGGACAATTTGCATATTAGGCTTTTCTATATATAGATTTTGACTAGGTATGCTCTTAAAAAAATCTCACATTTGTTTCATAAGTGTTTTCTTGGAATTGTGTCAGGCTTTTCTAATTTTATCAATGTTTTTCTGTCCCTGGTTCTCATGAGCATTTAGCATTTAAACATTTTTATTACTATAGTGAGTTAACTAGTTATGTCTGTTTTTTTGTATTTGGCTACTCTTTAACCTATCTTTTTTTTTTCTAAATATATTTTATTGATTTTTTTACAGAGAGGGAGGGAGAGGGATAGCGTTAGAAACATGGATGAGAAAGAAACATCCATCAGCTGCCTCCTGCATACTACCTACTGGGGATGTGCCTGCAACCAAGGTACATGCCCTTGACCAGAATCAAACCTGGGACCCTTCAGTCCGCAGGCTGATGCTCTATCCACTGAGCCAAACCGGTTAGGGCTTAACCTATCTTTTAATAGACCAGCACAGTTTGGGATAGTAGATGTAGAATATTTCTGTAATACTCTGAGAAGTTTTTAAGAAGTAGGATAGGAAATTGATAATAGCTTTAAAAAATGATGGGCATAGCACTTAATATTTGACAGAAGACTTGTTTTTTCCTATATTTTTATTGATTTTATTTTATTTTTTAAAATTGTTTTATTGCTTAAAGTATTACAAAGAATATTGCATATGTCTCCTTTTTTCCCCGCCCTTGACAATGCCCTGGCCTCCCCTACCCCCCAGTGTCTTATGTCCATTGGTTATGCTTATATGCATGCATACAAGTCCTTCGGTTGATCTCTTACTCTCCCCTCCTGCCTCCCAACCCTCCCCGGCCTTCCCGCTGTAGTTTGACAGATTTTAGAGAGAGATGGATAGAGAGATAGAAATATCAATTGGCTGCCTCCTGCACACCCCCCACTGGCGATTAAGCCTGAAACCTGGGCATTTGCCCTGACTGGGAATGGAACCTGTGACCTCTTGGGGTTCATGGATCGAGGCTCAACCACTGAGCCACACTGGCCAGGTGACTTGAAAAAGGAAGATTAACAGTAGTAGCGATCATTTCATTTTTAACATTTTTCATAGTTGAGATTATTTGTGAATATAAAACACTTGTTATTATTAAACTTCGGCATCTTGATGTTCAGAAAATCTGATTTCTTCATTGAAATGAGTCTAGTTGTCTACTTGGCTTCTGCCTTATTTAAAAAAACTGAATTTACTGTGTTTAGATTGTACTGGCAACTTGAAAGTTTTATTGATGCAGTTGAGAGAGGCTCCCAAAAACTTTAATTTAGAATTCAGATTGGTAGTTAGGCTAGATTTCTTATTCCCTGCTGGGTGGGGCAAGAGTAACCATAGATGGTGTTATGTGCGTCCTATTGTGTGATATCAGGAGACACTGAATGTCTAGTCTGTGATAAGGCCATTTTAATTGTTAAAAAATAAGCTTTATTGAGATGTACTTTTTACAATAAAATTAGCTAGGTTTAAGTGTACAATTTGATGAGTTCTGACAAATGTACATTTATATAACTATCACCACAATCCTAGATAATACCCTATTACCTCAGAAATTCCCTCCTTCCCTATGCACTCATTCCCCTCCCCAAGGCCCTCCACCCACCCTATTGGTGCAGCTTCTATCACTTGCCTTTTCTGGAATCTCATAATAAGTGGAACCTTGAAGTATAAGATCATTGTAACTTAAAGGAACACAGAGTAAGAAGGTCATTTTGGCCAGGAGCTGCAGGTCTAATTCCTTCCATTTTTATGTGACAGGGACTTGCCATGAGGTGTTGAAGCCTTGTTTCATTGAGTCGGAGAGACTGGACCTAAATGGCGCAGCATGACTTTGCTCCAGCCTGGCTTAATTTTCCCACTCCACCATCATCAACAAAGGTACTCTTTCTCGCATCTTTCTCTCTTCTTTTTGTCTTTCTGTCTGTCTCTTTGGTCACATTCTACACAAGTGTAGTTAAAACGTGAAGGCCTAATATTTTTGCAGAGAAATACTTTTTGTATTAACATTTAAGTTAGTTTTTATTTCATCTATTGGTTTTTATTATTTAAAAAATCAGTTTTCAGTGTACCATCATCATATGAAACCATTTACTTCTAAGTTGTCTTTTGTACGAATAAAAGTTTCATAAACTATTTCAAATCTGTTAGTATATTGAATATTACTTTTGCATCCTACCTTTTTCTATATTATTTTTCTGATAAATTGCCTTACTTTGAGATAATGTTCGTTGTTTTCTTTGTAAGTGAAGGTTTTTGAAGTCTTTCCATATAACTGGAAGACTTCTTTTTTATATAATCAGTGAGACTTTGAATGGCACATTACTAAAACTTCAGGAGTGTTGAGGAGTTTGCAATATTGTTACAATATCAGGACTCACTAATCTAAGAATTGTTCATTTTACTAAACTACCAAAACAGCATAGTTTGTATGAGGGACTTTGGAATTGTTAGAGGCAATCTACTTGGTTTAATAGCTGTCATCCACTTCTTTCCTTAATTTGAAGAAATCAAGAGAGGGTCTTGATCATCTGCTGCCTATTAATAAAGCTCTACCAGGTTTTATGAACAGTATTTAAAATAGCTCTTACGGGAAAAATTTTATAATTTGGAAAGTTGTTCCCTTATGAGGACTTGTTAGAGCATAGTGTTGGCTATGATATGTTGAAAAAGCCGCACTGGAGTGACAGAATTCCTAGGCAATAGAATTTTCATGTTTGAAGTTGGATCTTAGTAATCACACCTTTTTTATGCAGGTTGATTCACTGGAAGGCTCATTGACTTGCCTTTTGTCATGAGTTAGTGTGAGCCAGGGTGCTTTTCCTGTTCTCTTTCCATAGGACTCATCTTTGGCATTCCATTTCCTGTCCTGTAAAGTGGGATTTGAACTTGGTTGGGAATGGAGACTTCTACTGATTAAGCCACTGGGATCACCTCTTAGTTCAGACTCTCTGTTTACTCCTTTCTCTCTGATGTGTCGGTTTCTGGAATTGCTGCTTAATTTTTCCCCTCAGCTGCTCTCATCTGTCCCTTTAGGGGGCTCATTTCCTTCCAGGCTCACTTCAGAGCTGGGATACATAGAAATTTTCTGCTTCCTTCTTCTCTGTTGTGCATGTTCTCTGAAATGAGTATGACTTGTTTTTATTTGTAAGCAGATCAAGAAAATTACCAGCACCTGAAAAGTTAGTTGCAAAACATGAAAACGTTTGAGAATAATTCTTCATTCAAATGTTAATCTGTGGTTGACAGAGACTGACTTTTATGTCTGGTGAAACCCTGCATTCTGGAACCTGACTCTTGATCTGCATGTAGGCCCTCATAAACAGTGATGATGACTTTGAGAATTGGGATCGCCTATTCTAAATTTTCACTGACTTATTCTAAATTGCCTTCAGAAAATGGCATCAATTAGAACTCTTAACCAGCAGTATTTGAAACTATCTCCTTATACTTTACCCAAAGTAGTTTTGATAAACACAAACACACACCTTCCAGTAATAACTTTTTATATGAATTCTTATTACCTTCTGTCTTTTACTTTCATCTCAAAATCTCTATTTATGGACTCACATTTATAATTAACCTGTTTTCTACAGAGCCCTTTTAAATCTTATGCTGTATAAGTGGAATAAATAATAATTACTGCTGGGTTCTCTGTTTCAACTTAAAGGAATTCTTTCATATATTTGTTTGAAAGGATGATACAAGGATTTAAGGGTAAAAATATTTTCAGAACTTTAGTAGTTTTCTGAGGTGTGTAGAATTTTAGCGCCATCATGTGGTGAGATTTTAAACTGCATTGATAATATCTGGCATAAACACTTTTGAAGTGTTTATTGGGACCCAGTCAGAAGTAAATTTCAAAGAATGTTTTTGTATACACGTAGGTATTACTAAAAAGCATACACCTGTGGTGCACTAATATTTCCTGTTGTCTTTTTAAAAAATACATGTTTTTATTTTTATTTTTTAAGAGAGAAAGAAACAGATGAGAGAAACATCATTGATCAGATTGCCTCCAGCATGCCCTCCCCCACTAGGGATAGAACCCACAACCCAGGCATGTGCCCCGACTGGGAATCAAACCGGTGACCTCTTGGTTCATAGGTCAAGGCTCAATCACTGAGCCACACTGGCTGGGCTATTAAGGTTTTTTGTTCTTTTTCCATTAAAAAATGCAAACTGGCACAGATTTCATCACCTTTTAATAGGTTCTGACCTGCAATTTGGGAAAAGTAACATTTTTATTATTATAGGAATGCCAAACTGAAATGGTTGTAGATAACTAAAAATTTAGGTTCCTTTTTAGATAAGCCTTGTTATCGATACTTCTTTCCCATCATCTTACCTTAGGAAATACAATGAAGTGATTGGTCCTTAGGCTGAAGCATCCTTTTACCAGTTAACTGCCACAATATTTTGAATTTAATTTAAAAAGGTCTGCCGCTTGTGTCTATAGATGCTTATGGCATATAAATGATTCAGTGCAGTAATTGTTTGAAAAAAGAAAATGCCAGGGGTGCGGTATTAAGAGTAGATGGGTGGTAGGAAAGTGAATAGGGATTTTTTTTCTTTTTAAACAAAATAACACGTTACGAGATTCTGCTATAGTCAATACATTTTCATACTCGTAGTCAATATTCTGTAGTTATTTAAATGGCTAGAGCATAGCAATAGTGCTTTATTGATTCTGTCGTGGTAACATTTAAAAAACAATGATTGATTCTGTACTTGTCAGTGGTGTTAGCAATGTGAGCCTGCATGAAAAATACGTGCTATTTAAACTTTAGGCCAACAGAAGATCAGAAAATCCAGTCAGACTGGTAGCTGAGTTTATTCACAGTATCAGAGTTTGTATAGTATTCAAACTTCCTGTTTACTATGTGCAGTTTTTTGTAACTGACTCAGATATTCTAAGGAATCCAGAAAAAGAATGAAAATGTGCAAGAGAGAGAGAGACGGTCTCTTCCTTGTTCATTGTATCATCTAATGTTTCTTGAGGCGTGACTACATACCAGTCACTGTGTAAAATACTTTCTATGACAAAAATCGTAAGCAGTAGATACTCCGGCTTTTCCTCATTTACAGATGAGAGCACAGGTTGAGAGAGATGAGTAACCTGTCCCAGAGGTCTTGAGCGAGGACAGGAATCCCTGTGTGTCTGGCTTTAAGTGCTGTCAGTTTAGTAACGTTCTTTTCTTGATTGCTAGGTAGTAGACTAATTTTTAGAAACGAAATACCAGGATGCTTTTTTTAAAAATATATATTTTATTGATTTTTTACAGAGAGGAAGGGAGAGGAATAGAGAGTTAAAAACATCGATGAGAGAGAAACATCGATCAGCTGCCTCCTGCACACCCCCTACTGGGGATGTGCCCGCAACCAAGATACATGCCCTTGGCTGGAATCGAACCTGGGACCTTTGAGTCCGAAGGCTGACGCTCTATCCACTGAGCCAAACCAGTTAGGGCCCACTTAGGGCTTTTATTCATGCACCAGAATATATTTTTATCCTGGTTTTAGTAAACAAATAAGATTGCTTTTTTTCTTCCCCCTCAAGGATGGCATCTCCAATATCTTTCTATAGTCAGTACACGGGGACCTAACTCTTCTGTGGCTATATAATCTTGTATTGAGTGGATCTGCATGGATTATTCAATGAGTACCTATTTATGGACTAAATTGCAGGAATATATTTGTAGAGTAAATTCCTAGCAGTAGAGTCACTGGATCAGAATGTTTTTATATTTGGTAGATAGTGCCTAATTACTCTGGGAAAATTGTACCAATTTATAATCCCATCAAAATATTACAAGGGGGCTGGTTTCTTTTTTTTTTTTTAATTTTGGTGATGCTGGATGTTTTCACATTTTTAAGTCTGTGAAATTGGGTGAAAAATTGTACTTTATTGAGCATATTTTTGTGTTAGGAAAAATTTATTTTTTTAAAAAAAAAATATTTTGCTGATTTTTCACAGAGAGGAAAGGAGAGGGACAGAGAGTTAGAAACATCGATGAGAGAGAAGTATTGATCAGCTGCTTCCTGCACACCTCCTACTGGGGATGTGCCCACAACCAAGGTACATGCCCTTGGCTGGAATCGAACCTGGGATCTTTCAGTCCGCAGGCCGACGCTCTATCCACTGAGCCAAACCGGTTAGGGCTAGGAAAAATTTCTAAGAACTTCGTTAATGCAGTCCATTTGTTAATGATTTGTAATAGCTTTTCATATTGTGGGATTTGCTTGCCATTAATATGGCACATATTTTTCTACAATTTGTCTTGGTAATTCTTTAAAAATGTAGAAGGTTTTAGTGAAATATTTAAATGTATGGAGAAGTGTAGAGAGAATTGAGAGAACACTTAAACACCCACAATACTCATATCTTAATATTTTGCCATATTAGCTGGAAATAAAACATTGTGTATAGTTGAAGTCCAGCTTACTTCTTTATAACACTTGTTTTAAAAGTCTTCATTTTCTCCCCCACAGGTAGTCTCAATGCATGTTCTTTAATTACTATTCGCTATGTGAATGTTAATAAATAGTATTGTTTTGCATGTTTCATGCTTTTATATAAATGATTCATTTATATGTCTGCATCTTGCTTTTACATTAATCCTGCCTTTGAGGTTTTTTTCCATGTTGATACCTGCAGATTTAGTGTAATTGTAGAAAACTCTGTCTCCTGTTCTGCCTTGCGCCTCTGCCACCTTTCATCTGTCCGTTCGGTTGAGGTGGTTTCTACCTTTTGGCTCCTAGAGAGAGCCCTGCGTTGAGTGTTCTTGTAACGTTTCCTTGTACGTGGGTAAGAATCATCTAGGCCAGTGCTCCGTAAGCTCTAATAAAGTGTGATAAGATAACCCTGGGGTTTTCTTAAATGCAGGTTCTGATTGGAGTAGGTTTCAGGGTAGGACCCTAGTTCTAAACTCTTCAAAGTGATGTTGATTTTGCTTGTCTGTGGACCAAACTTCTCGTAACAAGGCTCTAACCTGTAGTTAAAAGAAAAATTGCTGAGACTTGATTAGATATTGCCAAATTCTCTTCCATGTGGTGTACTGAGTTACACTGCTGTATGCTGCATATAACCATTTACATTATACTCCTGCCAAAATTTTGTCAGAGTATCAGAGTGAACATTTTTCCAGTCTTGGCTATAAGATGCGTTTTCATTGTTCTTTGACATTAGATTACATTTCTGTGAATTGCTTATTCACATTCCTTTTTTTTTTTTTAAATCTTCATTTGAGGATACCTTTCCATTGATTTTTAGGTAGAGTGGAAGGGAGAGGGAGAGACGAGAGAGAAATGTTGATTGTGAGAGACACATCCATTGGTTGCCTCCCGCACACACCCTGAGCAGGGCCAGGGATTGAGCCTACAACCCAGGTATGTGTTCTTGATTGGAATAGAACTGGGACCCTTTAGTATGTGGGCCGACACTATCCACTGAGCCACACTCACAAGGGCTGTTCACATTCTTTATTATTTCTTTTGGGTTGCTTTGTTTTCATATTGGTTTAAGAAATATACACATATATATTTATATGCGTGTATATATGTCATTTTAAATGTCTTATAGTTTTACTTTTTTTTTTTTTTAGTCTTACATGTATTTGGCTAGATGTATGCAGGTGCATTATAGTACTTGTTGCTATTTTATTTATTTTTAAAATAGGTTTTTATTGATTTTAGAGAGAGGAAGGGATGGGGGGGGGGAGAGAGAGAGAGAGAGAGAGAGAGAGAGAGAGAGAGAGAGAGAAACATTGATCGGTTGCCTCCCACAAGACTGAACCCGCATCCAGGATGCCTGCAGAAGACAGGAGATAGTCAAGGACTTTGTCTTTCAGGGCATAGCAGACAGCACGAGGCCTGAGGCAGCAGGGCAGCTGGCACCAGGAAGTCCCATGGGGCCATGTGAGAGAGAGGGACCACGTTGGGGATAGGTAGTGGATTACCATTGCAACTGAGGAGCTCCCCTCCCTGTCCTGGAGGAAACTGTCACATAATACAACCCAGAGAAATGGTCAGAGCATTCAAAACAGTTCCAAGTTTTAACGGAGATTAATAGTTGGTAGTGGGAAAAACCAGCAACTTTTATAAATAGTTGTTTTATACACTTCTAATTTTTTAAAATCATTTTTATATATTCTTTTGATAATTTTTTTGAACATTTGTTTTGGGGAAAGAGGACAGCACTTAAAATAGAACTGTAGCTTTAATTGCCATAATTGTCAATATTGAAGAAAACCTTGAACTATTTGAATCAAGTACTATATGATACAGAGTATTACATTTTGTTATAAAACCCATATTTTGCCTCGTTCTCTTTATACCATTTTACCTTTCAAATGTTGGGGTGAGTAGAGGTAGTGGCCAAACTCGTTCTGAATGGGTTCCTGTTTTCACAAGGTAGAAGAAAGGAGACCCACAATGGGTCCATCTTACAAGTTACCAAACATTGACATAACTACAACATTTTCTAACCATTTAAAATTCTTGGAAATAAAGCCAGAGAGTATTAGTTTTTAAAGTTGTATTTAGGTTTTATATATATGTTTACCTATATGCTTATAATTTGTTTCAGTCCTCACTGAATTTTGAGAAGCATTCTGAACACTTTTCATGGACAGAAAATCGTTATGATGTGAGTCGTCGGCGACACAACTCTTCAGACGGCTTTGATTCTGGTATTGGACGTCCCAGTGGAGGTAAAATTTGCTAAGGAATGATAGAATTTAAGAAAACTTTTTTTCATATTATTTTAGGAACGTTTTGATTGTCATTCAGACTGTAAGTATAACCATCTTTGAATTTGTAATACTTTACCATTATCAAAAAAGGTAACTTTGGAAGGAAAGAAAAAAATGGATGGCGTGCGCATGGGAGAAATGGCACTGAAAACATAAATCATCGTGGGGGATACCATGGCGGGAGTGCCCGTTCTCGGAGCAGCATTTTCCATTCTGGAAAAGGCCAAGGACTGCACGACAACAACACCCCTGACAGTGAGCCAGGGAGGAAGGAAGACAGGAGAGAACGCAAACAGTTTGAGGCTGAGGATTTTGTAAGTGTCTTGTCATTTTAGTGCAAATGTGGTTTTTGCAAGTGCTGTTGTAGCACAAGCTCATTTTCTACTGAGAACACAGGTCCAGTTCACAGCTTTCCGTCCCGCCCTCCTCCTGTCTGTGTCCTACTCACCATGGGGTCTTTAAAAACTTTTTTTTTTTCCTCTCTTTTTTTTTTTTTTTGGTCTTTAAAAACTTTTGATAAATTTGTCATTTTATTCCTTATAGAAACCTATTTATTTTAAATATTATTTTTATTAGCATCAGCCTGCAGACTGAAGGGTGCCAGGTTCAATTCTGGTCGGGGGCATGTGCCTTGGTTGCGGGCACATCCCCAGTGGGGTGTGTGCAGGAGGCAGCTGATTGATGTTTCTGACTTTCTATCCCTCTCCCTTCCTCTCTGTAAAAAGTCAATAAAATATATTAAAAAATACATATTTTTATTGATTTCAGACAAGAAAGGAGAGGGAGAGAGAGAAACATCAATGATGAGAGAGAATCATGGATTGGCTTCCTCCTGCATGCTCCCTGCTGGGGATCAAGCCTGCAACCCGGGCATATGCCCTGACTAGGGATGAACCGTGACCTCCTTGTTCATAGGTTGACGCTCAACCACTGAGCCATGCCAGTCAGGCTCCCTATAGAAATTTAAGCAATTGCCCTCAGAAATAATGCTGAGTTCTAGTGGCCTGTTTGCAAGTGCATCATAATACTATTTTTAGAAAGCTGGTACATTTTTGGAAAGACTATTTTACCAGTACATTTTACTTAAATTGCCTCTCTTACACTTGATTACTTATGTATGACTCTTAATGAATCCCAGGATAGCTCTCCTTTCTTTCAGCTACTTTCTCCATTCAGAAGTTTCTTTGTGGTCAGGAAAGGAAAACTAATTGTTAGCCTAGGTCAATTACTACTAAAAATAAGTATGAACTAATTAAAAACAGAATTTTCTTAATTTTTCCTATTGGTAAATCTCACCATGTGGCTGGCTTATCTAAACACTATGTTTCAAGTTACATAAAAATTGACCTAGTGTACACTCTTATCTAGTTCTTGTGATTCATTCCGGTAATTTCTTTTTGTGTATATGTTCATTCTTCATTCAGCATTCGAGTGGTTCTGAGTCCTAACTGTTCTTGGTCTTCAGAATACATAGGTGAATAAGATAGGCAAGGTCCTTTACTGTTAGTGAGTTTATATTCTTTTTGGGACTTTAGGCCATAAAAAGAAAAAATGATTAGTATTTTGCAGAGAATTTAGACAGGAAGTGATTGGCTACTCTGGTTTAGCAGATCAGAAGAGGTTTCTGCAGGGAAGTGTCTTAAGCTGGGACTTGGAGGAGTGAGCTTTGTTACGACTGGTAGGATGGGGAAGAGCTGGTAAAGAGTAGTGTTCGGTCCCAGTAGAGAGAGAGGAAGGGGTTTTAATTGAGTAGGACTCTTGCCTGTAACATAAAACATTTTAGTTTAATTACAAATGCACCAGGCAGCCTCTTTGGAGAAGCCATGTGAGTTGGTTTTAGTTGATTTGAAGACGGTTCCAGTAGTTAGACCTTGAATGGGTTACAGTGAGAGCAGAGACCAGTTAGGAAGTGGCCGGCGGGAGTTGATCAGGAGGAAACAGTTTGACTGGGTGGGAGCTGTGACAGGCGAAGATACATGGTTTGAGATGTAGTTTGGTGATGGTTTGGGGGGAGGGTGGAAGTGAAAGAACATGACAGATTGGATTGAGGTCAAGGAAGTGGTGAGGGAAAGAGAAGGACAGGAATTATGCTTAGGTCCTGTAACCTGGTAGCCTTGGAATCACTCTACCTTCCCGTTTCGGTAGCCCATTTTATCCACTCGATAGTTACTATGAAATGGAATTTTTATCATCTAAACAAACCAGAAATGATAATCGTATGCTCTCCTAGTGTTGTGAGGGTTAAATGAGTAATATAAGTAAATCACTTCATGAACAGTGCCCGACACATAGGCACTCAGCACAACCTAGCTGCTGCTGCTATTATTATACCCCACCCCCACTTCCAAGACGGCCGGCATCAGCTATTACAATCCAGTCCTGGCATACAGACCTGTAACCTGCTGCCTCATACAGAGGAGCCTGGAAAAGCGCATGTAACTGCCGCCAGTCCTCTTGAGTTTGTATCAAGGAATCCACTGGTTTGCATGCATGCCCTTTGGAGCTTTTGGTAATGTCAGTAGAGGATTCTTTTTTTTTTTTTTCAACACATGTTAAGCACCTTTATGGCATGGCAGGCTGTGTTGCTAGATGATATGGACCATATCTGATGTAACTAATGGAAATTTAGGACTTGAGATGGTAAACATATCTACTAAGATTAGCTTTAGAGCACACATTCAGGGCTCAACTCCATTTCTTTTTTAAAAATATATTTTTATTTTATTTTTTAAAATATAGTTTATTGGTGTTTTACATAGAGGAAGGGATAGGGATAGAGAGTCAGAAACATCGATGAGAGAGGAACATCGCTCAACTGCCTCCTGCACACTCCCCACTGGGTATGTGCCCGCAACCAAGGTACATGCCCTTGACCGGAATCGAACCCGGGACCCTTGAGTCTGCAGGCCGATGCTCTATCCACTGAGCCAGACCGGTTAGGGCTAAAATATATTTTTAATGATTTTAGAGAGGAAGGGAGAGGGAGAGATAGAAACATCAATGATGAGAATCATTGATTAGCTGCCTTTTGCACGCCCCCTACTGGGGATTGAGCCTGCAAGCAGGTCATGTGCCCTTGACTGGTATCAAACCTGGGACCCTTCAGTCCGCAGGGTGATGCTCTATCCACTGAGCCAAACCAGCTAGGGCTCCGTTTCTTTTTAATATTATGAGCATCACTTGTTAAAATAAGAATTTGCACTTCGCTTTGAGAACGAGTTGCTCACTAAAGCATCCAGTAATGAAAGCAAGAATTGGGGACAGTTTGATTTCCTCTTCCCTGCTCTTGACCTTATGCTGAGAAAGGGTCTCTCTCAGATTGATGCAGAGACTGATTCTCTTGTGTTGGTGGTTGTTGTTTTGACACTTTTCTCTGATGCATTTGGGGATGAGGGAAATATTTAAAGACATTTTCCTTGTTTTCTAGTGCTAGGAGGGAGGATAGATAGTAACCATTTTAATAATGAGCAGACTAAGTTGAAAGTTAGGGCTATGATTATAATTATTCTGTAATCGTTGAGATAATTATGTCAGGTTTTTCAGAATGATTTTGAGGTTACTTTTAAAAGGATTTATTTTTTTTAAATGTGAGAGGTTAAACATTTTTTGTGTTGTTTTCATTCCAACTTTCTTTCAGCCGTCTTTAAATCCTGAATATGAGAGAGAACCAAATCAAAATAAGTCTTTAGCTGCAGGTGTATGGGGTAAGTAATTTTTTATTTATCTTTGAGGGGTATAAAATATTATTTGTAGGTTTTACTTTTCTGTATTTTTAAAAATAAATAGGTCAGAATTAAATCTTTTATTTTAAATATGTTTTGATGTGCTTAGCTACAAAAGGGTGGCACTTAGCTTTTAAAAACAAGATATTAGAGATAAAAGAAGGTTTTGAGTCGAAGTGATTGATTTGCCCATGTTTGTACCATTAAGTATACTCACATGAATTTTTAAAAAATGGTCATAAGTTAATGTAATGAATGGATGTCATTTTGAGAGTACCCCAATCATCATCTAAAGAAAAGATTTAGTTTTAAATTAATTTTTAGTTTTTCAAAGTTGAAAACTTAGTTAACTGGAAAGATACATACTTACAGTCATACCTATGAAAATGGTTACACATAGAGTATTAAATATGTATAAATTTGCCTATGGAACTAGTCTGTGTTTGAAATTATTTGCTTTTTGATTGTCAAAGCTTAATGACAGTTTTTCTGGTAATTCCGTTTTCTTTAAAACTGCTTAGAGGTTAATTTGATAGCATCTTACAAAAGATTTAAACTGCACTTAGTATAAATTAGACAGCATTTTAAAGATTCAAGTGAAGTTTAAAATAATGGAAAAATTTATAATATAAAGATTTGATATCTGAAAAATAAATTATTATTTGATACCAAATTCAAAGGTGGTGTATTCACTTTGGAACTTGTACACGATCATTTGTATGTTTCTACTGAAAATCAACAACTTATCAAAACAAGGATTGTGGCTATGGCAGCATACTAGTCCTAACAATAAAGGCATTATTTTAAACTTTGCCACTTCCTGTGCTGTTCTTTATTGTATTTATGGGGTGATACTCTGGGGAATTATTTTGTTTCTTTTGATCTCCAGATTGATTTAAGGGTTTTTGAGGGTGGGGGTGGGGGTGGTCAGACACTTTTGTGAGAACCATGTGAATGGCATTGTTTTTTCTGTATTGCAAATTAGTATTTCTACCACTCTCCCCAGGCCTACACGCCCAGACACACACATACCCAACCAAAACAATCTCCCAAGCTCCTCTCTTAGGTATGTTTCCTTATTATTCAGTTTTTCTGGGAACAGCTGATTGCATAAGAATATAGAATCACCTGGAAGGTGTTAAATAGATTCTCTAAGGAATTAGGAATGATTTGGATTTGATTAGAATGAAAGTACATAAAAAGTCAAGAATGTCAGCGAGCATTTGTCATATAAAATTACCTATAGATACTATTGGTATTGATCCTTTGTTAATTTAATAAGTTTAGAGGAAATGATTTAAAGGCAAATACATCTTTGAAAATATTGAGAATACAGTGTGTTAATATAAGGATTTTGGGTCTACTATTTCAGGGTTGGTGTAATAAGGATTTTGAGCACTAGTTGAAAGATGTTTAAAAGGAAGATGTACTCTTTACTGTGTCTTAGGTAAACTGAGAAGTGTATCTGCATTAGAAAACAGTGGTTAATTGTGGCTTGGTTAATTGGTAAATTCCCAGTACTTCCCATAGGAATACAATGAAACTTTCATTGTATGGCACTTTATTATTCCTTTCTCACTTCCCCCCGGGTTCCCAAATACTGTTTTACCCATTGCAACATTTAAAATAGCGATTGTGTTCCTGAGGAAGACATGAGAATTTAGGAAAGACTTCAGTTGAACCTTTTCTAGTGCTTCTTTCCAGGTAAGTAAAAATTTAATAATGGAAATGAAATGCCTATTAAAAATAAATCAGTTTGTCCCTGAAATTATTTTTTATAGATCAAATATTGCAAGAGTCTAAACATACATCTCAATTTTAAAAAGACCTTTTGGGAAAGTAATTAAGCCATTTAAAATGTAGTTACATAAGCTTGATTCTATTTAGAAGCTAATTGGATTTACTGGGAACACCATGCAGCTCGTACCCTTGACCTTAGCCAGGGCCGCTGTTGCTGGTGCACAGGGTTAATGCTCTCTATATCAGTCTTATTTCCATTCGTTAATACTGTGAAACTAAATCGAAGATTCAGGGTGTTTTAGTGTGCCTGTGGGAATTTTAAAATAATTTAGTTGTGTGATTTTGTTTGGGGGGTGAGAAGAGATAAAATGTTAGGTTTATTATGGTTTGCATGCAATTTGAGACATAATTAGAAACTGGTTTTTGTGTTTTCAGGACTCCTACTGGCTATTTTTGTGACCACACAACATGTCAGCAATATATTATTGGCAGAGCCTAACAAACATGCAGTGCTTAAGAAACTGAATCATGAAAACGTGTCATTAGTAATCAACTTAAAACTTAGTCTTGTTTCAACTCAGCATTCTTATTTGTGTCTATTCCTTTATAACTTGATGATGAACTTACCTGATTTTTGCTCATACTTGATATACTGCTTGAGGGCATCAAGGTTCATTTTTAAGAATTTTGTTTAGCTTTTAAAATCAAAGCAAATTGGTGACTAGTTTTTAAAGATGGGACGTTTTCTAGAGAATTCCAATGATATTAACCACAAGCATACAGACATGATTCCATTAAATAAGCTAGATCATGTTGAAAAGCTCTGTTGTTTTTTTTTAAGGAACTTTGTAAGCAGGATTAAGAGAAGGGAATAATCTGTATCAAATGTCTTTGTAAAAGCATTATATGGGTAAATTATGTATTGAAATGACTTCACTTTCCTTGATGTCCTTCTTATATGGAAACAGTTAAAATTATTCCAAGGTTCAAGGTTGAGAAAAGAAAAGTAAGGAGGTTTGATTGGACAACGTGCCACAAGTAAATTTTATTTGGTCAGAGTTAGAAGTATCACTTGTTCAACGTGGAAATTGTTTTTATTTTAGAAGTGTATTTCTTTAAGCCTGTCCTTCATATGAGTAACATAGGGGACTTTGTTAAAGGAAAAGTGCCATACCCTGCTATTGACATAAATTATAAGTTAGTTAAATTCATTTGATTAACACTCTCATACTGTTGCAAAACAAGACAGATTTGTTCATTAAATTAAAAATTTCAAACAGCATCAGTCTCTATAAAAATAATCTTAACAGGTTATTTAGTAAAATAGTGTTCACAATACCCTGCCTGGCTCCCTTGGTTGGAGCGTCGTCCCGTACACCATATGGTTGTGGGTTTAATTCCTGGTCAGAGCGGATATCTAGGTTGCAGGTTCCATGCCCTGCTGGGGCTCATAAGGGTCGCAACCAATTTCAGTGTTTCTGTCTCACATCAATGTTTCTTTCTCCCTTCCCCTCTCTCTAAAAAATAAAAACATATCCTCGGGTGAGGATTTAAAAAAGTGTGCTCACAATAACAATTTCTTTTAATTGCGGTGGTACAGATTCTTTGAGTTTAATATTTGTATATCGTGTCTTATGTGACTCAGTTCCTCCCCAAGTTAGTGTGAAGACTTAATTCGCTTACTGTTTTACCCTTCACTTGGCTGTATGCTTTTGTTCACACATAAAGTTGTTTCTTTTCACCCTAGCCGGTTTGGCTCAGTGGATAGAGCATTGGCCCGTGGACTGGAGGGTCCTGGGTTCGATTCCGGTCAAGGATACGTACCTCAGTTGCAGGCTTCATCCCTGGCCCCACGTGCAGGAGGCAACCAATTGATGTGTCTCTTTTACATCGATGGTTTTCTCTGTCTCTCCCGCTCCCTTCCACTCTCCCTAAAAATCAATGGAAAAATGTCCTCAGGGTGAGGATTAACAGAAAAAAAAAGAATAAAGTTGTTTCTTTTCTTGAGTCAAGATAATGAGGAACTCAATTAAAAGTGGCATGAGCGTGATGGTGAAGGCAAGGTGGGCCCTCATGTCACTGGGGCAGTGCCGACTTCAAGCCTCTTATTCTGACAACTCGGTGTAGACTCGGTCCTGGTGTTTTTCGTTGGGGGAGGTAAACATTTTGAAGAATCTGGCCAGCAGTGCCATGCTCTCCAGTAGTGCAGTGCAGGGTACAGTACATTGGCTTTGGAATGAGATGGACCTGGGCCCTAACATTAGGTCTTGTACGTATTGGTGATTTAGACTCCGGAAGATTGTACTTAATCTCTCGGAGTGAATTTTGTCATGTGTTAGGTGAGGATGACCGCAATCATGCTCATGAGAAAAGCATTATTAATGTTCGTCTACTATGTATAATCTTTGGTCATGTAATAGGTGTTTAATAAAAGTTAGCTAGTTATGCTGTCCAAATCTAATAAACCAGGGAGATTCTAGAAGATTTATTAAGAGACCAAAAAGAAAAAAAAAATTTTAGGTGATACATCAAAGAATAAAGTAATAAGTGATTGAAACAAAAATTTTAGCTAGCCGGTAATTTTATATGGCAGCTATGTAGAGAGTATAGTGAAAGAAAGGATGAGAAATTAAGCATATGGCCAATTTGCTTTGTATTACATGTGACTATATATTCCTCACCCAAATTTTCTCATTTAGTTTTTTAGGGAGTGGAAGGGAGGGGGGCAGAGAGAGCAGGGGTAGAGGAGAGAAAGAAACACCGATGGGTTGCTTCCCACACACACGCCTCTACTGGGGCCGAGCTTGGCGCCTGCAACTGAGTGAGGTACATGCCCTTGACCCCTCAGTCCGAAAGCCCTAACCACGAAGCCAAACCAGCTAGGGTGATGCGGCAGTATTTTATTTCTCATCTTTCTTCCAAAGAATTGAGTCACTTCTTCCACCATTGACTTTGTATGGAAGGAATGAAAGTAATTATTATATTCACAGATATTGGGAGCATGAATAACAGGATAGTAAAAGGATATTGAAAATTAGTTATTGGTAGATTACAGTTGTTTCTGAGGATGACAGGGAACTAACGATATGAAGATTCAGAGTCGTGTTTGCCTTCAGGTGCCTTGAACTTAAATTTGAATGAGAACACCTGCTAATGAGCTTGATGCAATGAGCCATGTGGTTAACGAGTCGTTCTCTAAGGTCACTCACTTTCTAACTCGTAGGTCAGTGTTAGAGCCTGTCATCAACACAGACACTTTCTCTTTAAGAGAATAATCAAGAGTAAGAGCCATGCCATTGCACTCAAGGGGGGTGTGAAGCTGAGACTCAGGCACAGACGGCAGGAGGGTGACCACCACGGGGAGGGGGGAGGGCCCGGGGGGTAAAGGGCCAAATCCATGGTGACTGACGAGGTTTGATTTTGAGTGGTGGGCACACAAGGGCAATATACAGACCATGTATCATAACAAAGCACTCCTGAAGCATATGTGATCCTATTAACCAGTGTCCCCCAATAAGTTAATAAAAAGTAAAAGAATAAATAATTTGGGTAGTTTTCATACAGTTTACCAATTGACAAAGGAAATGGAAAAGGCGTAGGAGACAGTGGATATGGTTTGAATCCAGCAGCTTCAGCACTTCACTTGGAAGGAGAATTTGAAGCCTCAGGTGATTGGAGAGTCTCTCCATGTCCCCCGGGTCCTTGTTTAGTTCAGTTTCTGAGATGGCCCCAGAGGAAGTTGGGTTTGGTTGTTTGAGGTGGAGAATCATCATAAAACATCTATGCAACATTCTGCACCACAGGATCCTGTCTCTTTTAATATGCAACACTAGCTAACCTTAATTTAGAATTCCTTGGATTTCTTTCTTTGCGTTAACTCTTTTATTCTGAACTCTTTATGAAACTGATGTTTTCAGAAATATTCATTGCAATAATTGGGAACACGCTCACAGGTAACACCTGTGTGATTATACATCCATCAAACTCTAAGAGTCTTTCATGTTTTAGTAATTGCTGTGGTCTTGAGAAAAGCTTTTAGTTAGCAAGTGTTATTCCTAGTACTACCTCAGAAGTAGGATTGAGTCAGTTACCCTGCACCTCATAAATGCCTTCAGTGTAGTGGTCAATATTTGAATGAATTGGTTGGTATGTCAAAACAGAACTCTCATCAGTCGTAACTCAAGTAGAAATAGAGGCAATAAGTGAGAATGAAAAGGATTAGGAAAATTCTCTTTTCAAAATGGAAAAGCAGAAAATATACTTTATATTTCAAGTCTTAAGGGCCATTAGGATGAAAATTGCGATGAAAATAAAATATATTGGGAGCTAATCTTGGTTTGGTGATAGTTAACATCTCCAGGCCACTGTCTAGCTGAATTCATTATCTGTATTACTTGACGTTGCTCAGTTCTTCCATGATTTGTTCAGTTATGTTTAGCTATATTTCTTATGCAGGAGTATAGCTTATACTTATTTAGCTTACTTCACCCAGGAAGCAGCTGTTATTTTTAAAATACAATCAAAGCTTAGAGTATGCTATTCTTGTGGTGGTTTAATTTTATGTTAAATTTAAACTGTAACTCCTGCTCGTACTTTGTCTATGCAGAGTACCCTCCGAACCCCACATCTAGAGCTCCCAGGATGCTGGTCATTAAGAAAGGCACTGCCAAGGACTTGCAGCTGTCCGGGTTCCCCGCCGGAGGGGCCCCCCCGTCGCAGCCAGTGAAGAACGGGACTGGCCCCAGTGTTTATAAAGGCCTGGTCCCCAAGCCTGCTGCTCCGCCCACAAAAGTAAGCCCCACACGTGACCATGACAAGTTTCAGTTGACGTCAGTGGAATTATTTTGGGAAAATAGTGTTAGAAAATCTACACTGAATTATTGGATTGTTTTGTTGGGAACTGACTTGTGTGTCACTAATTTTAATTATCCTTTAAATGGCGTGTGTTTTCTTGTTTTAGTAGTAAATGAAATCTGTAAAACTTGTTTTGCTAGGTGCATCTGACAGTGATGGTGAACCTTTTGAGCTCGGCGTGTCAGCATTTTGAAAAACCCTAACTTAACTCTGGTGCCATGTCACATATAGAAATTTTTTGATATTTGCAACCATAGTAAGATACTTATATTTTTGATATTTATTTTATACTAGAGGCCTGTTGCATGAAGAGATTCGTGCAATAGGCCTCCCCTTCTCCTGGCTGCCGGCACCGGTTTTCCTCCGGCACCCGGGACCCAGGCCTTCGTTCCGGCCAGAGCCGCCTTCCCTCCTCCGTCTTCGCAGCCCTGGTCGGAGCCACCTTCTGTCTTCTGTCTTTGCGGCTCCGGCTCACCTTCAATCTTTGCTCCGCCGCTTGGAGCCTACGTATGCAAATTAACCGCCATCTTTGTTGGTTAATTTGCATATCACACTGATTAGCCAATGGGAGGCGTAGCGAAGGTATGGTCAATTACCCTGTTTGTCTATTATTAGATAGGATATTTAAATGCCATTTAACAAAGAAAAATCAACCAAAAAAACGAGTTCGCGTGTCACCTCTGACACGCGTGTCATAGGTTTGCCATCACTGATCTATGATATATTTGCTTAATAATATATAATGCTGTTTTCTTGGTGTACTGTCTTAGGTTTTTGAAACTCCCACTAGTGGTTTCTTGACAATAGCTAAAAGAAATCTCATTTTAGGTTTATAAAACTGAAAAAAATTGCAATGTCGTTAGATGTTTTTATTTGAATACCACACTTTGATTTTATTTATAGAAAAAGATGCAAGAGGATCGTGTGGTAATGATTACGATCTAATACAAAAATATTTGCTTTATGAGCCACATGTAGTCACCTTTATTTTATATTGTTTGCTTTTTCTCTCTTCTGTGTAATCTATATTTTTTTATTTCTTTTTTATTATTATTATTAAAGGTATTACAAATGTGTCCTCATCCCCCCCATTAACCCCCATTAACCCCCAACCCCCCCCCCCCCCCGCCCTGCACACTCACGATCCCATCCCCCTGTTGTCCATATATTTTTATATATATTAATGTTTGTGTGTTTTTCTTTAGCCTACACAATGGAAAAGCCAAACTAAAGAAAATAAAGTTGGGACTTCTTTCTCTCATGAGTCTACATATGGTGTTGGCAACTTCAATGCTTTTAAATCAACAGCCAAGAATTTTAGTCCATCAACAACGACAGTGAAAGAGGTATGGCATTTGCAATTATTTCTGAGGGATGTAACGTTGTAATCACGAGTTTCATTAACAGAAATACTCACAAGTTCTTTTACAAAACTTTATTGAGAGATTTCTCCTCTACTTGCTGACACTTTTGAACATTAAGTAGGAATGAGTTTTAATGAAAATTTTCAAAAACCCAAAGTGTAGACAAAATAATACCCATATACCCAGCAACCAGAAAGACTAATTAAGAATTAGGAAAATGACAATTTAGACATTTTTGATAAAGTTATGCTATGCATATGATATCTGAACCTTCACGGAAATCGAGGATTTGTATGATACCATCTTTAGGGGCTGATGGAAGCTTTATTGGTGCTAACACTTAGGGGACAGAGGGAGGGTGAGGGGAAAATGCACATTATTGCACTGGCGTGAGATGCCTGCTAAGCTAAGTATTTCTGTGTCATTTGACCAGGTTCTGAAACTTCAATACCAGGGAGTTTTCTGACCAGTTTAGGGTCAGAAGACACTTGTGACTCTGTCCTTAGACTTGAAATGGCTCTGGGTGGAAGCACTTCTCACGCACTGGTTCTCCATTGTAGACCTTCAGAGCTTTGGGGGAAGGACCAGCGTGTCAGCTGGTTGGCTGTGGCTGAGATTCATTACAGGCTTACAGACCTTTTGCCAACAGTTAGGCATTACGGTTTATTTCCTAGTGAAGAATCTGATACAGAGTTCTAACATTCTGATTCTACTGTAACCCACTGTCAAGACAAAACACTGAAGACAAAAGAATGTCAGTACATGATTCTTCTCTTCCCCCTGCTCATCCAGATTTCCCCTGGTGAACACATCCTGCCCGATAAAACCCTGTGTGTGCCTGCATGTCAGTCCATGCAGGTAGATCTTACTGGCGCTGTTACTAGACCTTGAAGCCTAGAACTGTGGGAGACGGCATAAAACCCTGCTTTTCTGTGTATTGTAGAAACGCTTTAAACAATTTCAGGGTTTTTTATTTTTTTATTTTTTAAAAATATATTTTACTGATTTTTCACAGAGAGGAAGGGAGGGGGGGACAGAGAGTTAGAAACATCGATGAGAGAGAAACACTGATCAGCTGCCTCCTGCACAGCCCCTACTGGGGATGTGCCCGCAACCAAGGTACATGCCCTTGACTGGAATCGAACCCGGGACCCTTCAGTCCGCAGGCTGACACTCTATCCACTGAGCCAAACCGGTCAGGCCTAAACAGTTTCAGGGTTTTTTAAAGTTTTATAAAATAGTATTTAAACTCCTAACTTCGAGTCATAGTTCTTTGTGTTATCAGACCTTAATTGTTTCTGGAATAAGAAAATTTTTCCTTTTTTTTTTTTTTTTTGAGAAAATTCTTTTGTTTACTCATCCAATGGGGTAGTTAAAACATGGGGATAGAGGAAAGTCTTTGACATAGACCTTAGCATCAGTTTTGTATTGTGGATGAAGGTGAAAGAGGAAGTTGTGGTTGTTTTGAACTTTACATTGACATTAGTTCTCTGTCTACATATTTATCAACATTTCTGAATTTTTTTCTTAGTGTAATCGCTCAAATTCCTCTTCACCCGTTGACAAACTGAATCAGCAGCCTCGTCTAACCAAGCTGACACGAATGCGCACTGATAAGAAGAGCGAGTTTCTGAAAGCGTTGAAACGGGACAGAGTGGAGGAGGAGCATGAGGATGAAAGCCATGCTGGCTCTGAGAAGGTGACTCTTGGTTTGAATAATGGGTCGTTTAAATATCTGGGCAAATACCAGTTAGGACCCTTGCAGCGACTTCAATGACTTTTTTTTTTTCTTCTAAAGTACATTTCTCTCATTCTGAAGTTCCTGTGCAAAAATAAAATTGAAAAATTCCTGTTCAAATATGCCTTTCTGTTTTCCCCACATTGCCTATTTTCATCCTTTGGGCTTTTGCCTTTGTTGAAAAATGTAAATATTAGCTAATAAGCTGTGTGTATCCATCCAGCTTAGTTTGTGTGTGTGTGTGTGTGTGTGTGTGTGTGTGTGTTTTAAATATTTACATATTTTAATTGATATAAGGGAGAGGGAGAGAGAGGTAGAAAAATCAGTGATAAGAGAACCATCATTGGCTGCCTCTGGCCTGCCCCCAACTGGGGATTGAGCTGCAACCAGGGTATGTGCCCTGACCAGGAATCGAACCAGCGACCTCTTGGTTTCTGGGTCAATGCTCAACCACGGAGCCTTACTGGCCAGGCCATCAGATTTTATTTTAATGAGAATGTCTTCTAAATTTAATGATTATAAGTATTACATTTATATATTATCAATGTAAGAGAACTGGGACCTATTAAAGTTTTTAACAACAGTATTCTCTAACCCATTCTTTTTTAACTCCCTAAAAATCAGGATGAAGACTCATTTAATTTGCATAACAGCAATAGTACTCACCAAGACAGAGATATAAACCGGAACTTTGATGAAAATGAAATTCCACAGGAGAATGGCAATGCCTCGGTCATTTCCCCGCAGATCATCCGGTCCTCAACCTTCCCACAGACTGATGTTCTTTCAAGTTCCCTTGAGGCAGAACACAGGTTAATATTTATTTTTACTTCTCTGTATTTTTTATATTCAGGATTTTGATATTATAGAAATGCTGTGATTCATTTTTTAACAGTCTTATTGAGATATAATTTATAAGCCATACATTTCACACATTTTAAAAGTACAGTTCACTGATTTTTTTAGTCTATTCAAAGTTGTGCAGTTGTCGTCAGAATCTAGTTTTAGACAATTTCCATTGCACCCAAAAGAAACCCCGAGCTCATCTGCAGTAGTTGCTCCTCCTTTCCTCTGTCGTAGGCGGCCCAATCCACTTCCTGTATCTGTAGACCTGCCTTTTTAGTGTATTTCATATAAGTGGGATCCTAAAACCTTGTCCTTTATGTCTGGCTTCTTTCTCTCAGCATGTTTCTAGGCCCACAGACACGACAGCACCTGTCACTTCTTTGCTCCTCTTGTTGCCTCCACTACCCTGTGCGGCTCTCCTGTTCATGGGCTGATGGGATTGGGCTGTTGATACTTGTGCGTTTTGTGAATCATGCTGCTGTGAGCATCCCTGTGCACAGTTCTGTATGAGCTTGTGTTTATTTCTTTTGGGTAGACGCCTAGGAGTGGAATTGCTGGGACCGTGCTTACATTTTGAGACACTGCCAAACTCTTTCCATGCGTTCGAATACACACTTGACATTCTCATCAGCATCATGGGAAGATGCCCGTTTCTCCAGGATCTCAGGGACACTTGAGACCGTCTACCTTTTTGATCATAGCCATTCTAATGGATATGAAGTGATCATCTTTGTGTGTGTGTGTGTGTGTATACGTACACATATTTTAGAGAGGAAGGGGTGGGGAGAGAGAGAGAGAAACATCACTGATGAGAGAGAATCATTCAGTTCCCAGGCCAGTGCTCTGTCCACTGAGCCATACTGGCTAGAGCTCTTTTGTGGTTTTTAATGTGCATTGCAGAATGACTAACAGCATTGAGCGTTTTTTTAATGTGTACTTACTAGCTATTTGTATATCTTCATGGGAGAAATATTTGTTGAAATTCTTTATCCATTGTTAAATTGCATTATTTGTCTTACGGGTGTAAGAGTTATTTATATGTTTTGGATATAAGTTTCTTATATATACTTGTATAACTAGAGGCCCGATGCATGAAATTTGTGCAAGAGTGGGCCTTCCTTCCCCAGCTGCCCTCGCAGCCCCCGCCTCATCTGAAGGACGTCAGGTCCTATTACGGTAGATGTTTCGCTTTTATTATAGATTTACAGATTTTTTTGTACTCTGATTGATCTTTTCAGTTTCTAAATGGTGCATTTTTAAATATAAAAACATGATTTTTATGAAGTCACTTTCTAATTTTTTTTTTTTATTGCTTGTGCATGTCTTGTCTGTGTTGTGAAGTGGGGTTCTCGAGTCATCCTTTCCCATGTGGCTATTCATTCATTGTCCTAAGATCTGATTTATTTTTTATTGTAAACGTCCAAGAGCACTCTCTGCTTTTATCATTATCGTCTTAAGCATCTTCTAAACAGTGACCTCGTCAGTGATGAGCCTCAGAATTGAGGTGTGTTCAGTCTAGAGTAGACTGTGGTGGTTTCCCCGGTGGCTTACCAGTCAGAGCAGGTATTTGGCAGAAGTGGCTCACCCTTCCTATGGTCTTGGAATAAACCAACGACTCGGCATCACTGCAGGAAGGAGTGGAGGCTCTTGGCTTTACTTGTGCGTTTGTTATGAATTAAGCAAACTTTCATTGAAGCTTAAATTTTATTAGATTGGCACAGAAATACACACCACCATGAAGGGAGAAATTATGGCACCAAACTCTCTGCCTCTGTTGTACTTAGGATCGATCAGATTCCTATTCATTCTACAGTTTTCATTTTTTTAAATATATTTTATTGATTTTTTACAGAGAGGAAGGGAGAGAGAGAGAGAGTTAGAAACATTGATGAGAAACATCGATCAGCCGCCTTCTGCACATCTCCCACTGGGGATGTGCCCGCAACCCAGGTACATGCCCTTGACCGGAATCGAACCTGGGACCTTTCAGTCCGCAGGCCGACGCTCTATCCACTGAGCCAAACCGGTTTTGGCAGTTTTCATTTTTTAAAGGCTTTGTTCCAGACATATGTGTGCACTTTTTCAACACTAGATAGAATTCTTAAGTATATTGACCTCAATTCCTTTTTAAACTGATAAGAACAGATACTACGCTTGATCTTAGCCAAAAGGCCGAGAAGCGATCAATTCCTTTTTAATAACTGAAGCATTATAACTGCTAAAGCAATGAAAAGATAATTTATGCACCTACATTTTCTATTTATGTAACTATAATTGCTGTGTATAAACTGAATTGTTTTTCCAGTGAAAATTCTTACATCCTCTGGGACCAGGCTCAGTGTAAGGTGATGCTCGTTAAAGCCCAATCGACTTGACTTTTTTTGGTTTAATGCCTGTTTGCCTTGATTGAATTCCAGGGCAGTAGGGAGCTGGGCTATACCTACTGTAGGATAACTTTTAAAATTTATTTTTTAATTTCAATGTAACCTAAGCTCCATGAGGATAGAAAAACTTTGTCCATTTTGCTCAGTACTGTGTCTTGACCTGGCACTCACTGTGTGCGTAGCTTCGCAACATGAGCAAGCGCCCAGCAGAGCCAGGGTTTCTGCCTGCGCTGTGCACTGTGCTGAAGGGTGAGACATGGGCACGGCAAGGGTGCGGTTCGCGTGGAGAAGGGTGTGTGGGTGCGTGCGGACCTCGCTTGTTTCAGGGGCTGTGGATGGAATAGCCTGACAAGAGGATGGAGTCCTTCATTGGATTAGAGATGACTTTTAACATAGATTCTAATTGTGGGTGGACACAAGGTCATTACGATTTTTTGTTTGTTCGTTCTTTCAAAATCATTTGTTTTGAAAGCTATTCCAGAAATAGTTATCAATTACAGTCTGGGGGAATAAGGGCACAGAGGAGAAAACGGGCAGTTAGGAATCTGGACTTTTGTGACATGGAAATAATTGTTCCATCTGCATTGTTCAGGTTCTGACGGAAACAAGTGAACGTGGAGATCTAGGAAAAGCAGTGAGAGTGGTCTGATCGGTAGACTCTGGACTGGGTGGCATCGGGATGGAGGAGAGGTTACAGGTGAAGACAGTGCATTGGGAGGAAATGTTAGTGGTGAAAGGAACAGAGAAATAGTAATTAGTTAGTCATGACTGCGACCTTTTGGTCCAGAGGCCAAATATAGTAACTGAGGAGGCAAAGCACCAGACTGTTTCCTTTTCTGCTGTCAAGTAGACAAGATGTTGGGTTTCTGTAATCTTAATTCTTTATCTGTAAAACACAGCCTCGTGTTCGTTTTATTTAGAATCTGACACCGATATTCTGTGAGGTTGTTGCAGGCTCCAGTTGAGAGGTGATCGGTGTAATTAGGAGTAACAAATACTTAGACATAGAATGAATTTCTTACAAAGTAGTCAGATCTGTGTAAAACATGTCCATCTGGGAAAAGAAACATTGAAGTCCCCGAGCCAGGTGCACAGCTCTGGCGGCGTGTCCGCGTTTGCCAGCTGGGGCGGGGTCACGCTGGTCTTTTCTCGCCCGATGCGCCTAAGATGAAGCCCTTCTCTTTAAAAACGGAAGGAAAAGAGAAGAACCACCTTAGTCATTGTGCTCAGATCCTGGAGGGGAGCTTCTAGGACAGACAGCCTTCTTCCTGTTGTTACAGAGCCTCATGCCGTTTCGCGGTGGTTAGGTGCCGAGGAGGAGGACTGGCACGCACAAGGGGTGGTATCAATGGGTAAATGAACTATAAAGTGCAAATCGGGGCGAGATAGCCCGTCTTTTCTTTTCGAAGTAGCAAACCTAGTGATGAGCTAGAATAGAAGTGAATTGTGGTGGTGGTAGAGCAAATGGGTACGAAATGCTTTTACTTTTGATACATGAATTTAGCAGATTGGAAGTTTCTAGACTGGAGTGCCTTTTGCAGATTTCCAGCCTCTGACACCAGAAATCAAGCAGTTCATTCTGGTCTTATTGTCTAAGGTGTTTTATTGGGCTTCATCGCATCTGTTTATTCATGTTCAGGAACTCAGGCCCTTTTTTAATACACTAGTATTTTGAGGACTTTGTATAATGGTGAATGTTTTCTGCCACGTGACATAAATGGAATTATCCTACTTGGGTGCAGCTCTAAATTTATTAATTTCCTCCCTTTTTTCAGATTGTTGAAGGAGATGGGCTGGCAAGAAGACAGTGAAAACGATGAAACGTGTGCTCCCTTAACTGAGGATGAAATGAGAGAATTCCAAGTTATTAGTGAACAGGTAGGAAGACCTGAATCAGACAAGTTCACTTCCGATTGCCTTTTCTTAATCAAAACAATGGATTTTAAAAAATACTTTTGGAGGGTGGGGGGTGTGTGTCACACAGTTTTCTTCAGGAATGTAGTGGGTATCACATTACAGGTCATCAGTATAAATACTCGCAGAGACATGTCTTCGTCATCAGATCAGAAGAACAGAGATATTACATTCCTTTGCTCTCCAACCCAGTGGGCACAACATTTTTATCAGTTAGTTATTTCGTTATCAATAGGGTTGTATCTGCCCATCCTGGTCATCACAAGATTTCACAACCAATTCTCTGGGTCAGGCAATATTAGACAATCCTTGAAACGACTGCCGTATGCTGTTGGTGCCCGGTGAAGTTCTCATCACGCCTTTCTTCACATTCAAAGCAAAGCCTTCCAGCAGATGCACCGAGTGGTAAATGCAGCCAGTGGGCTACTGCTCACCAAACAGCCATAGGCCTCGGTGTGTGAAGGCTGCGCCATCCGGTGTGTGCAGCGCACGCTGATGTTTACACAACAATGACATCACCTCATGGGGCCTTTTGGAGAGCATCCTGCCATGGATGGGTGGCTGAATATAGCTGTATAGCTGCCACCCCAAAGTCTCTCATCATCCCCCTTGTCTTCAGTTCTCTCCCTCTGGTAGGTGATACTGTAAACATCCCAGAGTGGCTTACTACACGGCTGATGAGGTCTATAAAAGCTGTGCTTAGAGATTTTGATGAAAATTACCAGTGTCAAACGTTTTTATGAAAGAAAGGGAAAAGACTGAAGTTAATAGAATGTACATTATTGTTCGTTATTACTGTTTTTGTTATTGATTTAACTTTGTATCTTTAAAAAGTTTCTAATCTGGGACAACCCCTTCCCAAGCCCCATCGGTGACCTAATTAGCTCTAATTTCTCCTTTTCAGAAATAGAAACTAAGTTTTTCGAGTTTCTTAATCTCTGTGGTTAAGCAAGGGGCGGGCTCTATTTTATTCCTTATTCTTGTATGCCTTCCTTTTTGTGTACCTCCTATTGAATCCCGCATACTCGAATCGTTTGTACTCTTTGTTCCACAAAGTGTGAGCGAGGCAGACGGGGGCGTGCTCGCAGCCAGGTGGCCAGGGCAGGACAACAGCCTCTGGAGCCGAGGGCTGCTGGCTCCACACGGGCAGCATCGGCGCCGGCTACTCCCCTCTCTTCGGAGGTGTGGTCGACGGTGAGCGCCGTGCCCCCAAAGCAGGGGTTCATTCCTAGGAGATCTCTTGTTAGACCAGTTGGATCAGTCACTTTGCTGTATTAAACTAGTTTTCCAGAAACGATGTCGTCGTCTGTGGACTTCACAGTTTTAACTTTATTGTATTCATGGTTACATTTAATTATTACTCTATTCTTTTTAAAAAATATATATTTTTATTGATTTCAGAGAGGAAGGGAGAGGGAGAGAGAGAGAGAAACATCAGTGATGAGAGAGACTCATGGATCAGCTGCTTCCTCACGCCCCCTACTGGGGATTGAGCCTGCAACCCGGGTAGGTGCCTTGACCGAAATCGAACCCGGGACCCTTCAGTCCGCAGGCCAGTGCTCTATCCACTGAGCCAAACCAGCCAGGGCTATCACACAATCCTTAACTTGATAGGAACTCCTGGAGCACAGTTTATTTAACTTTTTATTTTTGGCATTTCAGTTGCAGAAGAATGGTCTGAGGAAAAATGGGATTTTGAAAAATGGCCTGATCTGTGACTTCAAGTTTGGCCCCTGGAAAAGCAGCACTTTCCACCCCACGGTTGAGAACGACGACTCGGAGACGAGCAGCAGCGACACGTCCGATGACGACGACGTGTGAGGCCCCAGCGCCCCCGAGGCTTCGTGTGGCCGTCCCCGTGCGGCGGGGGGAGTGCCAAGTGAAGAACTATAATTGATGTAGTAAACGCCCCGTTAGAGAGTTTTTGGGGGACTTCGGTATGAAGAAAACCAAGAATGCTGTGTTGGGCTGTGTTGAACATTCTTTCTTGTACATGGATGTTGTAGAAATGAGGCCTGTGGTGGACCAGCGTGGACTCTGCATCACCACGGCATTTCTCTGACTAGCAATGTGACGATGTAACAGATGAGATGTTCTCATTTAATAATAAAAATTGTGTAATGTTTTGCAAAGCTTCTGTCTTAAAATGTCCGGGTCTTAAGAAAAAAGGCAGCTTACACTGTTTGCTTGCAGAGCCTCTCTGTTCGTACAATGGAAATCCTCACCCCACTTTGTGCCCCACCCCCAAGACAATGTAGCATGTCGGCTAAACTGGAGCAAGTGCACTCAGACATTCACTCCCGAGCTCCGCTGTCGTACTATCACCTTCTAAAGCATACGCTGCCCTTTAGCCATGTGTAGTTCCGTAACTTACAGGAAAGACTCGCCACACTTTCTTCCAAATTTTAAGACGTGGTTTTCAAGAGCTTTATTTGGGGATGTTGTCAGACCAGGATTTTCAGAGTTGATGGAAAGAGTTGTTGTGGGAAAACTTATTTTGATAAATTATTACCTGAGCAGAAAAACTGATCACTGACTGGATCTGTCCCCAACATGGAAATAAACTGGATTTTCAGAACCTTGTCGTGCTCTGTAGTGTCCCGGGTTGGTCTCCACACAGCGCTCTGCTCGTCCTGGCAGCTGCTTCGTTCAAGGCGGCGGCCGTTTTCCGAGTTTAGGGCAAGAGGTCGGGAAACGGCCTTAGCGGCTTCCCGCGTCGAATGCCGGTGAACCCTGTGTTCTCATCGGCACATCGGTTTCAGCCATCTCTGTCCCCTGCTGGCTGGGAGAGGATGTTTGTATTTTGAATTTTTTCTCTCTTGTTTGCTCACGTTTCTGTGTTCGCCTCCCTCCCCTCGCTCATGCGTAAGTATATCCTCATCGTAAGGAGCGCAGTCTCACAGCAAAAACGTCCCAGGCTTCGTGTCAGAGTCTTCTTTTTTTGAAATTGCGTTTTCAGAAGACTCCTGTGTTTCTGCTGTTTCCACCTCAGTATCCTGCCTAGATAACCAGCCCGTGTGTCTCCGACATCGATGTTTTCTCTGCCTCTCTCCCTTTCCACTCGCTCGAGTACATACATCTCCTGCCTAGACTCCTCAGTTTTTACCAGAAGCCAGATTATTTGTCACGCTGAGTGGTGGTGAGGGTGCTAAAACGACACGGTTTCATCCCACAGAACTTGGGAGGATGAGTTACAAAGTATTAAAGTCATTGGAGTTCTCTTCGGAATAGGCCCGTGTGTCACACCTGCCGCCAGCCCATCCCCTCGCGCAGTGTCGGCCGCGCGGAGCCCGTGGCTGCTGCGGCTCCGTCAGCCGCAGGCGGCACCGGTGTCTGCGCTCCGCTCGCACTGTTGGGTCGTTAGTGGGTTAATGAAACCTCCCAGACGCAGACGGTGTTTGCTAACAGAAGGGACCGAGAACCGTGGCTTCCATTTAACATGTACCTATTGTGTTTTCTAAATAGCTCTCAGAGATTTTGTCACTTTTCGTCTCTGGCACGCTGCCTTCAGTTCAGGGCCTTTTGCCCTAATCCCCTCTCAGCGTTCGCAGATGCTGAACGCGGTGCCGGGCTGTGGCCAGGCGCTCACAGGTGCGGGTCAGCACGGGGCCGGCCATGTCCGCCTCAAAGGCCCCCGCGGGTCCCGTTCCTGCGGGCGGGAGGGCAGGGTGGCAGAGCCACGAGTCCCGGGCTGTCTCAGGAGTGGGCGGCAGGGTCTGGACCGGGTTCGAGAGGAGGATGGCCACAGCACGGGAACATCGTGTGGAAACCTGACCTCCGGCCACGGGGGCCTGAGGGGCCATTTACTTTAAATTCAGCTTTTTGCGGCAAGTTTTTTTTAAAATACCACTTTATCAAGGTATAAACGAACGTAAGATACACATTGAAGGCATGTAGCTTGGCAAGTGTTGACCTGTGAAACATGGCCGTCAGGTAGTGAACGTGTCTCACCCCAAAAAGGTGTCTGGTGTGGCCCCCCATCCTTCCCTCTTACAATACCTCCCCTCCCCCCAGTGCTTTTTGGGGAGCATGGAATGTGTGAGCAAAACTTACAGGAATGGGTTTAAAGTAGCATTTCAAAAATTGTATGTTAGGTTTATTAATAGGATAATTTTTATTTTCATAAATATTTCTGTTAAAGTTGAAACAAATGTAGAAGTGTTACCAATAGTCAGGTAGGTTGGATGGCGTCAGACTTCTAGACCAGTTAGAATTCAGGGTGTTGACGGGCCTGAACCCTAACGAGCTCGGGGAGCACCTGTGAGGGTGTTTGTGGTGTTGGTCTTGGGACCCGTGCTCGTCTGAACAGTGTGAAGGGCTGAGGGCATGTCCTGATCCACTTGCTTAGACCTCACAGGCTCCATAACGGCGCCTGATCAGAATGCACTTGCGGCAGAATTTAGACACCTGGCTTAGAAGAGGCACACGTGCCAGCTGGTGTGCTCAGTGGCTAGAGCGTGGGCTCCCGGGTTTGCTTCCCGGGTTTGATTCCTGGCCAGGGCACAGGCCCTTGTTGCTGGCTCGATCCCCAGTAGAGGGTGTGCAGGAGGCAGCCCGCGCTCTCCCCTGTGCCTGTGGCCTCCTGCCTGGGCCCAGGTGCTAATGGACAGGGAGGCCTCCGAGTGCCTGGCTCTGATGCCTGTGGCCACGGAAGCAAACCCAACTCGGCCTGTACGTGCCTCAAGCTTAGGAAAGCAAACGCTGAGGACGCCCGGCCACAGGCACCTCGGGCTGGGCCCAGCAACGAACGGCTCCATGTCCTGTCCCAGCTGCTGTCCACAGACCCCGGTCACTCCTGGTTCAGTGGCCACGGAAAGGGGTGCCCCCCCCCCCGGCCCCCGTCACTGTCAGAAGGTCACTGTGCAGATCCCCAGCAGGCGTCTCCAGGTGCCTGTTGTGATCTCACTCCTGCCTCGATTCCAGAGGTGAAGTGGGAGCTGCAGATGCCGAGGCTCACGTTCCAGAGAGACAAGGGGGGGTCTGACGGGACTTGGTGGCTGCCTGACCCAAGGGAGAAACGGACCCCAGAGTGCCCGGGGCTGGCAGGGAGGGTGGGTGCCCCTCCCCACCCCATCCCCACCCCCAGGAGAGGCCTCCTCGCCGTCTGTGCCAGGAGACCTGACTTCTTGAACCCTGTCTCCCGGCCGATTCTGGACCCGTTACCCGTGCTCAGCGGCTCTCACCCCTGACAGTGCAGTGGGGTCCAGGACTGTCTCTGAACTCTGCTCCCCGAGTCTGGGGTCGCTGGCGGTTTCTCTCGGGTGGAGGATCACCTGGTCCTGGGCAGGGAGGTGGGGAGGGCGTGGCGGTGCCTGGGCTCTGGTCTGGGTCCTCCTCCCGCCTCCTGACCCAGAGCGAGCTCTGCCCCAGGCACTGGTCCTGTCACTGAGCTCAGGGTGCCGCCCCTCCCCTGCCGCAGCCGCAGCCAGGCCCCTGTGGCCCGCCAGTAAGGGGTTTGTTCAGCTATTTTAATGAAAGGAAATGAACACCAGGGGGCAGCAAGCCACCGTCCAAGGGCCTGCAGACACCTGTAGGCAAAGGGCGTTTGCTCAGCAAGCAGGACCTGGGAGGTTCCTTCTGGACGGGGCAGCGTCTCCCAGCGTCTCCCACCTGTCGCGGGGCCTGGGCCTCCCGGGAAGAGTGGGCGGCCACACCCCAGGCCCCACCCAGCCTCCTGGGCTTCCTCCCGAGACAGGTAACTGGAGTTGGATTCCTGCATCTTTTGAGAGATCTGACTTTCATGTATTTTTTGTTCACCCTCACCGAGGGTTTTTTCCATTGATGTCCAGAGAGAGTGGAAGGGGGGGCCAAAGAGAGAAACGTCGATTGTCTGCCTCCTGCACACGCCCCAACCAGGGCCGGGGCACCTGCAACCAAGATACAGGCCTTTGACTGGAATCGAACCCGGGACCCTTCAGTCCGAGGGCCGGTGCTCTATCCCCTGAGCCACACGGGCCAGGGCGGATGCCTGCATCCTGAGGCCGAGGGGCTGAGGCCCCCCCTCCCGGTCCCTCGGTTCACAGGGTCAGCTGAGGCCCCCACAGGGGAAGAGTCCGGAGCCGGAGCCAGGTGTGTCCACCAGGTGTGTCCACGGACGCCCGAGGCCCCGGCCTGAGGGACAGTGTGAGGCTGGGAAAGCCGTGCTGGGCTGGAGATTTCACTCCAAATCCCAGGCCCCCGTCCCCTGCGACCGGAACACGCCTCAGCTAGAACCGTCCGAGGCTGCACGCTGCCGGGCCCTGGCGTGTGTGTGTGTGCGCGTGTGTGTGTGGGGGATGGGGTGCGCTGGTGCTCTCCCAGGGGTGAGGGTGAGGACTAAGTTATAAAAGCGTCAGCCCTAACCGTGACCCTGCGGTCGGGGTCACCTGGCGCAGGAGGGGCTGGCTGTCCCCCGGGCGGGGCGGCCGGGTGCCTGGCGGTTTCCCTGCACCTGCTCAGTGGTGCTCACTTCCAGGAACCACAGTGACGGGGCCTCAGCCAGCGCTCCAGTCACCCCGCGTCACCCCGAGTTCATGGGGTCAACCCCCACGGACCCGAGGACCAGGTGCCAGGACCTCCTGGGCCGCTGTCCCGTCCCTGCAGCTGCTGGGCTGTGGTGAGCTGGGCTCTGGCACGTGTGGCCTGAGCTTTCCTAGGAATCGGCAGAGTCCGGGAGGCGCTGGCTTCAGCGTGTCCTGCATCCCCCCTCGCCCTCTGGACAGGGCACCCCCAGTCCCCACGGGGCCCCTGGGCGCCTCCCGGCCTCAGAGATCCGGACCTTCCCCCTCCCGCCCTGCTTTCCTGGGCGCCGTGTGTTGCGGTCCAGGCTGGCACAGCTGCACTCACTGCGAGAGGAGTGGGCATCAGGTGGACGGGGGTGGACGGGGGAGGGGGTGGGGGGTGAGGGGAGAGGCCCAGGTGCCTGCCTCTCACAGTCCCCCCCAGAAGGGGGCGTTGCTGACCTCATCCAGGTCACTGTCTGCTAACGTCCCAGGGGCAGTTTCTTCCTAATCTTAGGGCCCCACCCAAGGGGAAGGTTCTGGAACCACCAGAGCACTGAGGAGGGGTGGCCCTGTGCTCCCACACCCCTGGCCCCCTGGTCCCATCTTTTCGGGATAGTCTCGGGTGGGGGGCAGGCAGCTTTCTCAGACCA